AGTTAGGGGAGAGCAGTGGGGATAGGAAGGGACAGTAGCAGACATGTTCTGTAGCTGAACTGCAGGAACGCATAATTTTAAGCCCCCCCCCCTCCCCCTCTATATCCAGCCACTGTTACAGTTATGTGTTTACCAAAACAAATCAACCATGTATTTTGATGAATAGACTAGTGGACTTCCAAATCTATTCTATTGCATAGTAATTACTCAAGTTCACTACTCACTAAAAGTACCTGTTGTAGAGGAGGGGGGGGGGGAGGTGCAATGGATTTGAACTCTGGTGGCGACCCAACCAGACCAGGCCAAGGTTGCAGGTCCGGCTGGCAGGAGGGGTTGAGGGAAGTGGTGGGGTACTTCACTGAACAAAACTTGGGGTACGCCCTTTTGAAAAAAATCAGGTAAAAAATCTAAAAAATCATTTTAAAAAATATTTAAAAATTTCGAAAAAATTAGAAAAAAATAAAAACAAAACAGAAAAATAAATGGAAAATCGATCAGAGAAAATAAGAAAAAGTTGCTTCTACTTGAATTTATAGTGAAGTACCCAGCGGGGGAGGCCGGAGGGGGGGGGGGTCGTGTAGGTTGACCAAATGCACATACAGGGATCTTGACACAAATTCCTTATCACTTAGACGGCTCTCTATAGATACGGACTAATTGAAAGCGACCCCCCTCCCCACCTAATCTCACGTTCAAGGAGCAGTATCGGTCGACGCGTCCTAAGAACAAAGTCTGATCTGTTTGCGCGCCCGTCAACAAAGTCCGATCTTTTCGCGCGCCCGTCAACAAAGTCCGATCTGTTCGCGCGCCCGTCAACAAAGTCCGATCTGCTTTTGGCCGCGCTCTGCATCGCTGGTTTAGTTTATTACTATCTTCACTAATATTGACAGTATAGAAAAAGTAATGACTGCTATGTGATCCTAACAGATTGAAGAATAGCTAAGACCGAAAATGTTAAGCAAAGATACAGAAACAGAATTGTCACAAATCTCCAAACGTCCGCCTCCCGAGCGCGGCCAAAAACAGATCGGACTTTGTTGACGGGCGCGCGAACAGATCGGACTTTGTTGACGGGCGCGCGAAAAGATCGGACTTTGTTGACGGGCGCGCAAACAGATCAGACTTTGTTCTTAGGACGCGTCGGGTTGCCTACCTACTAGGCGGACCCTCATTCATTATCGTTTTGTTCTATATTTGTTAAGTCTTCTGTTATTTTAATGCACTTCGCTCAGCTACCCCGTGCATAATGTTAACGCACGGGGCCCTACGTTATTGGTGCGGATTGTGCAAGTCACTTCTGCATCGTTTCTCAATGATTTGGTACACCTTTGAAAATTCTGTAACTTTAACGTTTATCTGGCCATTCTGTCACATTTCGTCACGGGAAATGTTCCAAAATTTCCCTGGAACACCTTAGCACCTATTTGGTTGGTTGGCTAATTCTCCTCAATCATCGTGACTCACTCTGTTGACTTCGGTTTTGCAAGCCCAGCCCCACATGTGGCATTGCGTCCACGACGCGAACCACAAAGCGCCGCTCTGCGAGTAACCGTGGAGAGCAAGGTTGCTGCATGCTGAGTCATTACAAAGACTTATGTCGAAATGACCACCCTCCCAGATGTCCTGGACCCTGATGACTACATGCTCGTCGTCCAACAGCGAACGCGTGTTGGTGTAGACTGCAAACAAAGAGAAGCAACCTCTCCGCTTCGCATATAACCGACTACAAGTGGTATTGATGTCGAAGCTGACCCATTATGGCTATTTTCAGATTGATTTTTTTTTTTTTGGGGGGGGGGGGCAGAGTTATTTGAACAGAACGAACGTGAGAGTGAATTGTGTTTCACTGCATCTCATTTAACAAAGAAACAACATCAGAGTGCCCTCCGGTAGGGTGCGGCTTATTTTGACGATTTTGGATTTCAAACTTGCATCACGGCTTTTTCTTTTCCTTTTTATATTTGAAGCACAGGAAAAAAATCCCATGGCCCTGGGATAAGGCTAACCCGTGCCGCATCTTACGTCTAAATTTACATGTAATTCTTATGGGAAAAAAGCATTAGAATCGAAATTTACATCATGCAGGCCTCCACTGCATATTTTTGGACAAACTCGTGCAGAAACGCTATCCTCTAGCGATAAAAAACCCGGCGATGTGTCACACATGATGTTTCACTGTACAGTTAATGCGGTCTGTGGCACAAATTTAGGCAAATTTACATCATTTTAATGAAAATTGCGAATGTACACCTCATGAACTCTGCTGTTAGTAATCATGCGTGGCACATCGCCGGGTTTGTTATCACTAGAGGATTGCGTTTCTACACGATTTTGCCAAAAAATATGCAGTGGAGGCCCGCTTGATGCGAATTTCGATTCTAATGCTTTTTTCCCATAAGAATTACATGTAAATTTCAACGTAAGATGCGGCACGGGTTAGCCTTATCCCAGGGCCATGGGATTTTTTTCCTGTGCTTCAAATATAAAAAGGAAAAGAAAAACCGTGATGCAAGTTTGAAATCCAAAATCGTCAAAATAAGCCGCACCCTACCCTCCGGACCCATTTTTATGGTCATGGCAGCCTATATACCTACAGGGAAGCGGTTGTCTATTTTAGAAGCTTGCGCACAAGAGTCCTCCAACAAATGTTGGTTTAAAAATCTGGACTAAGGTTTTCCTGTATCAGAACCACAGGGACTATTAAATGATACAGGGTTTTTAGTATAATACGTAAAATAAAAATATTTCATTAGTAATATAACAAAATTGAATTTGAGATAGTTTTTAGTAAATTGTTAAATAAAATAATTCAAGATTTGTTTTACATAGTATACTAAAACCCCTGCGTCATTTTATAGTCCTTGTGGTTCTGATTCAGGAAAACCTTAGTGCAGATTTTTAAACCAACATTTGTCGGAAGAATCTTGCGCGCATGCTTCTACAACCGCTTTCCTGTAGGTTCAGGCTGCCAAGACCATGAAAACGGGCCCCTAGGTAAATTCTGATGTTGATTCTTTGTTAAATGAGATGCAGTGAAACAAAATTCACTCACACATTAGTAATGGTCTTATGACTAAAGCCCCCCCAATTTTTTTTCTGAAAAATGCAAAAATGGTCAGCTTACAAGAGATCAACACCCGATAATGTTTTGGACATTTAGAGCGACTGAACATACTTCGGATCAGCCCCTAATTCGGATCAATAAGACCTAATCACGCTCCCTCATTAAAATGTACGAGTTTTAATTTTTGGGGTAAAAAGGTATGTCGTTTTCTACTATAATATACCATCGCTTCGCCTTGGTGCACCCCGAGCGGCCCGCGCGGCCGAGATGAACATTAACATTCATCGGTTAGGAGGTGGGAGAATGTTGTGGTTTGCTCAAATTGAGTCGCATCCACACAGGTATCAATCTTTAGTTGAAGGTCCAGAAAACACGTTTCAAACGTGGATTCGATCTAACATCATGTCAGGTTCAAACGCGGGTAGAGGTCAAAAGTAACAACTTCACAGGTCGAGTTTTGCGAAGAGCTTCGATCCCATGATGGTTGAAAGTTTTTTTGGGTCCTAATTTTACTATGTTTTGTCAGGGAATATTTCATAGGGTTGCTTTACGACGCATTCTTGGTCATCCGGGACAGCCCAGAACCATATTTGCCAGTTTCACTACATTTTATGTCGATTTAGTCTTAAATACCCTTACGTAACCTCGATCTCTCGCAAAAGGCATTCCAGATGGTCGAGAATATGACGTGTTCTTGTGTTTGACACTAATTATACGTAAACACTTTTGCCGAGTGTGTTGCTGGTCGGTTTCTTAATTATTTGTTTCATTTGATCCGAATTAGGTGCACATGCTTATTTCGGATCAGGCAATAATTCAAAGACTCCGTGGACTGTGAACCAAAACCTTGAGTGCTTCAAGAGCCGCCTACTGCCAGGCTACAAGATGGCAAAATCACTATCTGTATCCAAAGCTGATCCAAAATAGGTTCATATGTCCCTGTGTTTTTCTACGTCAGCGGTGGCATGGGTGAAGTACGAAATAAATATTTGTCATCACTACATTGTTGTGTACCTTTTTATGCGCGTTTAGACATCTGTCAACATGCCCTTGTTGCGTATTTTCTCAATTCATCATTCTTAAAGAACAATTTGTTCAGAAAAGCTAGCTAAAAAAGTTTACAATTAGAGCATGCGCACAGAATTCTGAAAGCTGCGTACAATAAAGTACACAAACATTATGTGTGAAAATGATGTACTTTCCGATGGTGGAAGGACGAGACACAAAATCTGCAATGAAATTGATTTTGTGAAAGATACCCCGATCTGAAATAAATTGTTTGCTTTTGGCTGCGGATTATTCGTATGAGCATACAGAACGCGTTTCAGAGAGCATTCGCTATTCTTTGATCGCTTTGAATTCGGAACAGATCGCAAAGGGGTCATTTCGAGAGTCCTGACGTACCCAGAGCGAACATTTCTCTTGCTGGCTCGAAAATGTTCGCCGATATTCTAGCTCTTGGCGGCCTTTTATCCCGCTTGTGCTAGGATTCGATCCCGAGACTCCGAACAAGCAGGCCCGCCCTTCCGCCAAACGAAGTTGCCAGCTCCGCTTCGCTCCGCCGGCAACTCCGTTCGGCAGGGGCCGGGCCTGCTTGGCCTGCCGGCGGCGATGGTCGGGCCTGCGGCCCGACCATTTCTGTCGCGCGATTTGCTGAAGAACATGACCGAATGATGTAGCGGGCCTTCGGCCCGCTTAAACCTGTCATCGTTGAGTTTGCCCCAAAAACTCGAGAAAGGGATGTAACGGTGAAGCACCGCGACTACAACCCACCCTTCTGCTTAGAAAACGTTTTTTTGGGGTTAGGTTAGGTTAGGTTAGGTTAGGTTAGGTTAGGTTAGGTTAGGTTAGGTTAGGTTAGGTTAGGTTAGGTTAGGTTAGGTTAGGTTAGGTTAGCCCGACCGTGTGATGGTACACGGGAACGATCCAAGACACATTTGAGTACCCAACATCTTTATTTTACATTGCTACCTTGAAGTTCACAATACAAACTTTGTCTGTCAGTGTCGTTAAGTGGAAAAGGCAATTTAGAGGGAAGAAAGTCTTTGACAGTTGATGTAGAATTAACCTCCGGGCCCCGAAGCCAGGCTCTGTACGATTCAAGTGTATCTTTTACAAGTTGTATTCTTGCCCTCTCTCTAAGCCGTGAGACAACAGTGTTCAGAGTGCATTCTGTGACAGGCGAAACGCGGAGGAAAGCGTTCTCCCAGCAACTTTCTAACTCTTTTGCAAGTTCTTCTTTGGTCATAACTTTTGACGAATGTTCCAGAACTTGTTCCCCGAGACCCTGAATCACTACGATCTGAAATAGTAAGCCATTCAGAAGTCGGTGAGCAGCAATTATGCTCTCAGCGGACTTAAGAGTGTAAAACTTTGCAGCGACAGCTGTATTATGCCCCAAATACATTGGAATTACCGCGTTTGCCGCACTGCTGTCAGCTGTCCCAGCGAGGAGAAATTTGTGCGACTCTACGATCTTACGCAGATCGTTGACCGTGAATGGCTCTAAACTGCACCTCTTCCAAACTGGTCCTAAAATGGCATTGCTCGGTTTCCCCAAAGTAGAAGTTCTGAGCAAGAAATCCTGCCCTTGAGATTCCCTGATGTCTGCAAGCTTTGAAAGTAGTCGGTATGACACAGAATTAAGCACCAAGAATGTGCATGAGTGGTTAGCATTTTTTCCCCCCGCAATCCGCACGACAAACTCCAGATCGCGCCTTTCCGCGGCCCGGATCTCACTCACGCGGAGGGCAAGAGCCTCACACAGCCTTTTCCCAGCGAGTGCACACAGCAGCACAACCCAAGCATTAATAATCCTACACGGGGGCTCAAGGTGCTTACAGTTTGGGGCGCTGAGCGAATCAATGCTCGTCTCTATCTCTTCAAGGGACTCGGAGAGAAAGCTGAATAGTGTTCGTAAGGGGACCTTGTCGTCCACCGGCTTGCCTGACAGTTTCAGCCGCCGTTCTCTGTTGGCCACGGCGTCACACCTGCGGAGAAAATAAGGCCCGTAAAAATATGTAACGTGTTGTAACATCAGGCGGGGAGGAAACAATCAGACCAAAGACTCACTTTTTCCGCAGTTGTCTCCATACTTCTGCTGCGTCTTTAAGTCGGCGCCGCTTTTGCGTGCTGTGGCAAACTTGATCTCTCAGCGAGCGCGTGGAAGTGCACTCAAGGATGAAGACGTTGAGGGAACTGCATATATGAGCCACGGTGATTGGCTGCATTGGAAGTTCTCGCAAAAAGGTGACGAAGTCGCCAGGCAGATCGACGTTTTCAAACACGCTGGTGAGGTCCGTCTCGCCGAAGCGACTCCTTGCATACTCCAGAAACCTCGCCACATGGAGTGCCCGTGAAGTGGCCGTGGCCTGGCTTATTCCGGCCCTAAGCTGAACAATCTTGAAGTCTTCCAGCAGCGGCACGCGGCACTTAGGCTTCGGAGAGCGAGACTTGACAGCGTGGTTGACTTCGGATCGGCGGGGTTTGCCTAAAAGATAAAAAAAAAAAACGATCAGATGTCTAGCGGGGCAGGGGGGACGAGAAAACGATGAAAATTACAAAGAAAAGCGTAAACGTCGAACCTGTTTTCCCTGGCTTTGTTGCGTCCCTCTTCTTCTCCGCTCCGAGAGAATACATGTGCCCACGTAACGCCCTCACTGCGCCTCGGAGAGCAAACTTGTTCAGCCTGAGCCTGTGCCCCAGGCTTCGACGAACGGCTCGCAACGTTGTTTTCCTGACCCCTCGTTTCGTCAGCCTGCGACTAGCTTCTAGAAACTTCCGAAGCCGTTCAGAGCCCTGGGCGATCCCGTGCTGAGACTCCGCGTGCGAGCGGAGGCGAAACGGACGGCAAAGCCGTTTAAAGCACACTGGGCACAGAGAGACTGAATCTTGTTTCTCAGTGGTGCGCTGCGCGGACACAGAGAGGGGAACAAAGGATTATTCTCTCGTCGCCGTAAATAAACAGACAGACACGTGGGGCGGGCAGAAGCTAACCTTGTTCAGATGCGTCCCGGGCT